TCGAAGCAACAATGCATGTCCTTCAGCAACATCAGTCGATCATGTTGCTGAAGGACACACTGTGCCTCCATTTTTAACTATGTGCAGAGGTCATAGCGTTTGACCATCTTCCTCAACAGGTCGACGTGCCTGGGTGCCTCATGAGAACAACTCTTTTTTGGCCTCAGGGCTCAAAGCAAAGCTCACAGAATGTGCCGAAAAGTACCCGGGTTGAGACGTCTTGTGTTTAAAGCGTTGTCATCCACACTGCTTACTTTGTCACGTCCTTTACTACGCCTTCACACGCACCTACCTGACCTTTCAAATCACGAGCAGTGCCAGGTCTCACTCCCCCAGAGCGCACGCGCCCCCCTTCCCCCCTTGCTAGAACAGACCTACACATCCTCCTTCACCCTGCGTTTATCACATATACACACCGTCTCTCTTCCTCTTGCTTTTCTCCGAAGACAGAGCACCTGCGCGCAAGATGGTCGTCCCGAGGAGGACCCCTATCGTTGGTGCAGATGATTCCTCCATTCCAATCGGATCATCACCATCCTATGGATATTCTGGCGCGCGCCGAAATCCCTTCTACTTTACTCGTCGCCGTACTGTTTCTTTCCGCAACCCTTGCCTACTGTTTCTTGTGCTTCTCTTTATACTCCTACTCTTTTTTGCTGTTTTCACCACTCCAGACTATGGCCTTGGATTTCTCTTTGTTCTCATCTCTCTTCTCCCCGCAGCCGTCGTCGGTTGGTTCATTTTGTCTCGCTTCCGAGACGAAATTGTTGGCAGGCCTTTCTTGTTCCTACAATTTCTTATCGGAGCCATCCCGCTTATCTTGTTCATTATCCCACTTGAATTGATAACCACGACTGCCGTTTTGATCCCCATCGTATTTGCCATTCGTGGTGATTTAGAGGAGGATTTGCCAAAAATAATTGAGGCTGCCGAAGGAGGAAACTCTAAAGCCGTGCAGCATTTAATTCAACAGCTTGCACAAACGATTCCGCTTTGGTCGATTATTCTCTCCTTGGTGTCAGTGTTGATCGCCTATGTAACAGCTGGCGCACTTGAAGAATTTGGGAAATGGTTTGTTGCTAGCCGGCACATCGGTCTTGAATGCAAGTGTGGTCGGGACGAAAGGAAAGTCGGTTGTCGTGGCATCATGGCTTCTGCTTGTATGACGGCTCTCGGTTTCGCCACAATGAAGAATATTGGATACGTGTCGGGAATGGCAAGAGCGGCCTCACAAAACAGTAGCGCAGAACTGCGCAGCCTTGTTTTTCTTGCTCTCTTCCGAGGTCTTCTCGCTTTCCCAGTTCACGTCGGAACCCAGTTATACGTCGCGATCACAGCATCACAGAGGCACATCTTCATGGACGACGTCAGCGTGCCGTGGGCCCTTTTTCATGCAATACTCTTTCATGGCACGTTCAATGTCCTTACGTTTTTATCAGAAGCCCTTGTCGCTCTGAGATTGTGGCCTGCTTGGATGTCCCTGTTGGTACCAGTAAGTGACATTATCATGGTTGTTCTGCTCCTCCTTGTGTGTAGGGCACGGTATAAGGCCTTGCTGGAACGCGAGAGAACGGCTACGTCAGAGCCCGTGTAAATACAAAGGATACGCTTACTTCTCTAAACCGCGTTGCTCATCATTTGCCTTAGCATTGATTTTCTACCGATCAAAGGCACGTACGACCCGGGTCGAGTCGCAGCCAAATGATGTGAATGGCTACCTGCTTCTTGTACCAGACGGGTAAGCGGTAACGATCTCTATTTTGGCGCAGATCTGCGTAAAACTGCCGCTGTTCCAAGGAAACTAGTAGCACAGCGTTACTTATGCCTAGTTTGATTCACAGTTAGATTCGGGCCTTTACTTCAGGCAGGAGCAAGTATCGCTTCTGTTGGCCGCGATGGTGGCAACGCTGCGACGTTGGACACGAGATAAGGGGAAAGAATAACTTGTAGGCAGTCACTGTCCGCTGCAAGCGAAAAAGCTGGCTGTGTATGTGATACCCAGGAGGCCCTCCCTTCATATGCTGCGAGCAGCAGGAGCCCCATATGGAATGTCCATGAGGAAGAAGATTCCGCGTTCATTCCGAACGCGAATTGGAAGTTCCTTTGAGTTACCAGGATACAAACGAAGAAACCGATGGATTAGTTGCAATTTCGCAGTCATTGGCGCATGGTATCGTTGAAGTCATCCACGTACCACTCGCGTTTTCGAAAACTTTTACCTATCAACCCTTTGGATTCCTGTATGGTTCAAGCTGTGTCCGAGAGCGCGTGCCTTCGATCTCATCGACCTTCGTAAATAGCCACCAAGAGGCAAGTGTTAGTGTCGACACAAGATTGGATGGCGACAACAGTTCCCGTCGATCGGTTCACAATTTGGATCGACTTTTGAAGTAACATGCCTATTGAAGAGGGCACTGCCAGTGCAGGTCAGAAGGGCGAAAGGGGATTCTTCATGTGGCACTGCAAACAAGTCTGCTGTTGCATGCGGTCGTCCTGGGAAGCGGAAAATCCCTAAACATTTCGCTTCCTCCGTAGTCAAATCGTTAGTGAGTACGCCACGCCCTTCTTTCTCATTCCTTTGACTACTTTGACGAACTCGAATCTTAGTTGCTCACTCGAACCGCAAATAAGGATGTCAACGTCCCCGCAATCTTTTTTGCCTCTGAGATAGCTGCCCGCGACGGTAATGTCCAAGGACTGGTCCACAGATTTGACCACCATACGAACAAACTTCTCCAGTTCAGCCACATGCCTTCTCGGAATACGTAGTAGCAAGTCTTCGTAGTGACGAAGACCAATCTTTTGATTCCGGTTGAGAATCTGAGAATCGTGCCTGACCGCATCTCGTATCTGAGTAAAGCTTTTGATCCCCTGAACTATAAGATGTGAACCTTGACAGTGCTAATGCCCCACACATTACGGAGCTGACAGCAGTACGCTCTGCGTTCTTCGCGATCCTTCTCACGCTTCACGAGTTCTCGATCGTACTTGTACTTGTCAAAAGATAGCGCATTAGCGTCCAACTGAACGCGAGCAAGGTCGGGTTTCTTCAGCTTAGCCGTGAATCCAGCAAGTCCAGAATTTAAATACAGTTTCCAAATCTTTGCGCGCTTCACTCCACGCCTCCCACCGCTCCTCTCAATCTCGCCGTTTCCACTTCCAATGCCCCCCACGCGAGCTTCTTCCCCTCCATCCTCTCCATTTTCCTCGCTCTCTTCGTCCGAGCTATGCTGAGCCGCACGTAGTATGCTTTACCAATCTACTCCTTCTCTCCCTTTTTCTCGGCCATATCGCACTTGGCCGCATTCTTCTCCGTTTGAAAATAGTCTTTCTCTTCATCATACGCGATATGCACCGTGATTTAAATACAATTCTCAATAAATTGAATTACAGTATTTGCAACAGCGCTAATGCCCGTGTTGACTGGGAATTACGAGGGAGTACCCAAGGGACCCAAGGAAAAACCCGGTCAACACGGATGCAAACTGCGAACTGCGAGTTGCGTGTGTCATACTCACATGTCATGTCATGCGACTTCAGAGTCCAGAGTCCACGTGTCGACGTTCATCCCGAAGTCGCATGAGTATGACAGTTGCACTGAGTATGATACTGGTCTGGTAAAGGGGGGGGGTACTGTACTCCAATTGTGGAACAGAATTTGTCCACGACCCCGTAAATTTTAGGCGAGGCTGTGCTGTTCCAAGCAGAGTTTTGAGGCATGTGTTAACTGATACACGTGTACTGCAGCAGTGCCGTAGCCAACCGGCCTGAACAACTGTACAGTACCCTTGGGTACGTGCAGTAAATAATAGTACAGGTACTGTAAAGGGTAAATTTACTCTTGGTACTGTAGCCGCTCCATTCTACACCAAGAAACAGTTTCGTTTCCGGACCAATGCGTGTCCCAACACAGCATGTCAGGTGCACGGGTGAAAAACCATCCTTCATACTGTACCAACGTGGATTTCCATCGCCCAATAGGCTGCCCGGCAACGGATCAGAGATCAAATTAACAATCCTTGGGGAACTTTCCCGCCCTCATCCCCACTCTTCATCTGTTGATCCCCTGTGTAGACGCGGTGCTCCTTGCCGCGTCCGCTGGAGTTAACGCCCTCGTCCCACCAAAAGCGATCGATCTTTGCCGTGACGACAAAGCCGTCGAAACAGTGCTTCGCAAATATCAATCCTCTTCCAACCCGCACAACGGCACCACAAAGGCTGACTATCTATCAACGTGCCAGCCCCCACCGCTTCCATCAAGCCGGAAACCCCAAGCCATCCTGCTGTCACCGCGCCCATTACCATCCTCTCACTCTGGCTGACAAGTTTCTCACATGACACAAACTAAAAAAGCCAACGAATCGCGTATTGCATTCCAGCCACTTCACGCAACCCTCATCCTGGACGCCTGGAAACAGGAGGTCCTCAAGCATCCCCCATTCGCCCTTCGTGAACAAGCAGTCGCAGCTGCCCCCGATAATGCTTCCTCAGCCCCGTTTACGGGCCCCGTGTTCGCCACTCGGGTTTCCGTCGCCGCTAATGCTGCCTTGCGTCCGCGACAGAAGAAACTCTCGCCCGACTTTGTGGACGCCGCCATGCAAAAATGGAGACGCATGTACTATGACATTCGCGCCGAGTACTTAGAAGGGAAGGATTTCCAGTACTTCGACGGATTTCCACGGGTGAAAGAGATATGCACCCTTGAGGGAGTTGTCGTTGCCCATTTAAAGGAGAGGAGAATCAACAGGACAGGGCATGCCATACCTGTCGAGGAACAAAAATCTACTAAACACAAGCGTGGTCGGGTTGACCACGATGACGAGGAAGTAATTGACAGCGGCGACGGCTACGCATTTGTTCACAAGTCTGATATCGACGACCCTCCCACCATTCGCAAAGCAACCGGAACTATGTCTCAACCACCACGAAAACCTGACACACCCCAAGGTCTCTCTTCCCGACGGCGGAGATTACCGCCCGCAGTATCACCGGTCCTCTCCATGAGAAATAGGCAGTCGTGGGACCAGCGATCGCCCCTTCAACTCCCTGATACCGTCGCTGACGCCGCCAGAAGGCATTCGCCCACGCCTTTCTCCCCGCCCACGCCGCGCCCTGTTCGCCCTCTTCCCCCACTGCATCCGGGGAGACGGCCACTGTCTAACAGAGTTGCCTCGCACCCCGCTACTCGGCCGCCACCGATCTCTACGGCAGTGGCAGTACCGGAAGGGGCACATGCCCAACCCGTGCTGAATGCCAGTGCAGATGTGGATACGTTCAGCCCGCCGGAGCTTCTCTACAAACCGGCGCAGATCGCGGAACTAGCGCCGACTCTTCAGAAAAGAAAGATGTCGGTTGGGAAGCGCAAACCGAACCTTTCTTCAAAGCAGACGCCGCGAAAACCAGACGCGCGAAAACGTAAGGAGGTCGCTGTTCGAAACCTGTCGAAGCCTTTCTCAGCAAGCGGCGACCTGGATGGACAAAAGAAATGTTTATCTCCGACGCCTGTTCATGGAAAGAGTCTGCAAGCCCTCCAACCTGAGCGCAAGGATGGCTACAAGCAGGCGTCGAGAGCAAAGATTTCGTCGACAACACGGAGAAAGAACAAGGCTGATACAGAATTTGAAGTCGGCGAATCCCCGGCAGACACAAAACCCTTGCAAAGCCCCATTGTGCAGCTACAGCCCGAAATGCGCTCCAGTAAACGACCGCGCCTCCGAAGATCACGGGCATCTCCACCTACAACGGAAGGAGTGATGAATGCGAGTCAGGTTTCTCCTTCATTATCATCGTCCTCCAGGCTGGGTTCTCCCGAGGTGATCGTGGTGCCATCAGGAGAAGAGCGCCGGAGCGGGGAGATGGCGGCAGACCCGATTCGCGTCCAAGGGGGGATAAATTTGAACAGGCGGGTTCCATCTTCTCATCTAAACTCGCAGGCAGGTGAAGAACAACAATTGTCATGGGTGGCGCATAAGGAGCAGAGCGGGACAGCAGGTCCACCCGGTAAAGCAAAGGAGGGAAGGCTGTCGAACAATGAGTCTAGTGATGACCTGAAAGGAATCAATCGGTCGTCAAACGGTGAGTCTAGTGGTGACCTGGAAGCAATTAATCGAAAACGGAAATCGTCTACGTCTTCTTTGGAAGAGCTTGCCGCTCAATCAGTTGACAAGGGAGGGGAAAGGTTGTCCAGCAAGGACTCAGAGGACAATGCGCAATCCCATGAGAACGTTTTCCCGCGTCCCATCAAGGTGGCAACCGCACGTGGACGAAAAAGCACATCAAGGAGCCGTAAACCTAGTGAAGGGACTGACGATTCCATCCCAGTCTCCAAGACTAAGGAAAGTAGCTCTTCAAGTACTGCAAAGGCGAACGAAGGAGCACCATGGCTTCTCGAAAACGCAAAAAATGCTCTGGATCGACCAGCACAGGTTAGCAGAAAAGCACCCAGCGAGCTCCTGGACGGGTACAATGACCCGAAGCGGCTTACCAGGCTTTTGGCGTCATCCCTGGTGATCGAAGAGGCACGTTGCGTTCCAAGACGGGATCTAAACCGATGTCGTCGGCTTGGTCCATGCAAGACTGTCAGTCGTGCTTCGCAGAAGCACTCTTTGGTTCATAATGAGCGAAGACTTCGGTTCAAAGGAATCTCGCGTCGCTTGCTTGAAGGGGCTAAGTCACATGGGCAGGAAGAGATCACATTACAGAGGAAAGAATGTTCAAGTGTACAGGACCCGAATTCGAGGAGCAGTTCTCCATCGAAGAAAGTCCGAACTTCAAATGCTCTTTCTAAGATGCAGTGCGCACATGATCGATCCGTTCGAGACGTTTCCATTCCGTCCCAACCTCTGGAAGTATCTGCGGACGCGGGGATCGAGAGCTCGGACGACCTATTAGAAATGTTTATAGGAACAATGTCCCCATCGAAGCGATTACACGAGAAGGAAATGATTGATATAGATTCTTTCATGCCCGAATGCGAGATTCAGGAGAAAGATGACATAAGTTCGCCGCAAGGAAGAAAAACAAATGGCCCGGATAGGCTTGTCGAGAAGGAGAAGAATGTTTGCTCTGTTCTGCAGCCTTCCTCCATCATAGCCGCTCAACAGAGCGGCCCTGTTGACTCTTCAAAAGGCCACGGCGCTGTTCCCCACGTGCAGGATCCATTGTCGCTTTCAATCTCAGCGAAGGTACGAAATGAGAGCATCTCCGCTACCCAGCAACCATCGATTGCAAATGCTACCGAGAGAGAAGCACAATACGCAGTAGGGGGCAATCATCCAAGAGCCCCTGGTGCTACAGGAGTAGGTGAGGTGGGACAAGAGACAACACCTGACAATCAGCTGGCAATATCCCAACGACAAACACCAGCAATCGCTCCAATTTCTAGTACGCGCCAGGAGAAATGCACAAACCATAACAGTAGACTAGGGGGCGACTTGCATGGCTGTGCATCGACAGTAAAGGCCTCTACTGACAGAGAGCCCTCAGACCAAGGGGTCCAATCATCAATTGTGCGAGAGTCGCATGGCTTTAAAGTATCAAAAGAAAGATCTGTTTTTGCGATAGGCGACGTATTGCAAAGGGCGAGCCTGTTACCAGAAGCAGCGGTTCCAGACGTGTGTTGGGACCACAGTGCTCTCAGTAAACTCCGAGATATCATGGGCTTGTTGGGAATTGAAGTAGAGATGGATCAAAACTCAATTGGGAAGCCGAAGGTAACAATTTGCCCCGTACTCTTGTCGCAAGGGGAGCAATTAAGTGATTTCCCTGGTATACAGAGGCCTAGACAAGCTCCTAGCCTGGACCAAATGGGCACGCACCCGCCAGCTGGCGATGGAAATGAAACCAGTCAAGAGAGCAGCCGTCGGCTACTGAATACTCTTCATTCCGTCGCGATGTTACAACGCTAAAGCAACTGATGCTGGGGCGGTTTGACTGCTTTATCTGAATCGAAACCCCCTCTTTCCACGGGAGGGAGCAATGGTCAAGCCACACACGGGCTGCAATGATCCATATTTACTGCCGCGAGCACAAACTGTAGTCAAACGGCAGTAGCAAAGCGGCGTGCATCTTAAGTTGCAAAGCTTTCGCAAGCGTGACTGAACGATGTGTATATATACAGTTTCAGGGCAGTTGAGTACCTCGCAAGGAGTGCTCTAACAATGCTCTCTGTTTGTGCATTATTCTTGTATACTTATAAGACTTTACGGTGTCCTGCGTCTAGGAAATTGAAGTAGAGTTTGGATGGCAAGAAATCGGAATCTCGCGACAAAAAGTTGCCCCTGTATGATGAGACCTTTCCTAGTTCATCTATTTGTAACGTAAATGCCACCAATTTGCACATGCGACGATCGAGCAGTGTGCTACATATTCCCTTTCTGCGGGCTCTCTTGCCAGAGCTATTTTCACTTTCTTTTGTATAAGGACAATGTTTTCCTAGGGCCGCTCTGTGCTGTATGATAATGGCTCCGCAATGGCCCTGATGTACGTTTCTCTCCCGGTGAAGCACCAACTCTCTTCCACTCCTGCGGGTCGGTCCCAGTAATTCCTGCTTGCGGTCGTCGTCCAAAAGTAACTCGGCACCTTTACAAATTCATCCGGGATCGCTCTGTGCTGTTGACGCTTCAGATGTCTCAGAACCTTCCGTCTCTCTTTCGTAAACTTTTTCTCGAGCGAGCAAGGCCTTCTTTTCCACAACAGAAAATATGCGCTCCTCTGCTTCATTGGTTCCTAAGTTGGCAGCTGCAGTCGTTAGCCCGTCAATTTCCTTTCTGGACAGAGACTCAAGACTATTTAGTAAATCGTCGAAGACTTCATTGAGCGACGGAGGCACGTCATCTCCAGACAAAGCCTCAGCACATAAGCATAAGAAATGCGACCAGCCCTCAGTTATCTGTTGTTGCGTGCGGTAATCGCACACTAATTCACGAATGTCTCGGAGCCGAACTCCTCCCTGATCATAGTAGCTACCTGCTGTTCTGTTCGAAATAACATGCCGTGAGTCCGACTCAAAACGAGCCCTCCGAAGCGCGATATTTCTCCTCTGAATGACTGAATGAAATTGGTCGAGTATTTTGGAAGGGGCCGTAACTACTCGTTGGGATAGTACCCGGCTCATCGCTTCTGTGCTCACATCTTTCATTTCGTTGAAAAGAGATGTAATACGGGTGACAATGCTTTCAAGAGCAGCCTTAGTTGCCCCACCACGATCATTGCATTCCTTCTCCAGATGAGCTACAATACTCAGCAATGTAGCCCATACCTTCTGGCTGTCAGATCGACTCAAATCACAACTATCAGAGGCACATTCCTCTGGACATGTCTCAGAATAAGTTTGTTGATGAAGCTCGATAATGTTCAAGTAGGATGCTAACGCATCTAAAGCTGATTCAACAGGCATCCAAGGCAGCAGCTGAAATGCGGTCCACAAAGGCTGTATCTTGTGAACGCCTATATCTTCACTGGAATGGCATATATGATATGTAACTGCTTCGCCGACTGCGTTCCACCCATATCTCGAAATGTACCGAAACAGAACTGTTTCCATACCTTTGAGGGACTTGAGCTGCGTTGCGAATCTGATTGCTTGTGAAGCCTGTTCATGAAAGCCTCGTGCATAGCAGAACGCCAACACTGCTTTCGTTCGTGACCAAGCCTCTTCCCACTCATATCCTCGTCGGAGGCATTTCAGTATACGCTCCACACGGCCCAGGCTTGCTTCTTCTGGCCCACCGGACTCAAGGAAGGCTGATACATCGTAGGAACGTCCTCTAAATAAGGCTTCAGTCCTCATAGAGGAAGCCCACACCACAACTGCCATGGCACGAGATGTGGACTTCAAATTAAAGGGCAAACTTAGACGCTTTTGTATCGGATCTGAAAAGCTCACGAATTCCCAGTTGACCCAATCTAGAGATCCTGAAAATGTTGTGTCTGTAACACCCTCATTTTCGGATGGTATGAGGCGATGTGTGGACATCCAAACTCCTACTGGACTTATACATTCAAGCGAGGGCCTATACATACGGCCACCAATGGCTTTCCGTAAGTGGCAGATGACAAAGTCCAACTCTCCAATTCCCAAAGATTCGGCAGCCTCTGCTAAAGCCCCGACCTTTTGCAAGTCTTTCCCTTGAAGTGCCCTGGTCCCCTGTTCTGCGAGCAGTGCCGCACCATACTCGTGCTCCAACATAAAAGAGATATACCAGTCTCCTGCAGGACTGTCCTCTGTGTGTTCTCTAAGAGCTTGTCTGACCTCTGCAAGCGCTTCCGCTTTTGCCGAGGGCACAGTCCCAGCTCCGACCCATGAAAGATTGTAGACAAGTGTCATACGATTTCCCTCCTCAATCGGAAAGACTTTATGGTCTACATCGACGTAGAATGCGCTATAGTAACACTTGAAGGAATTGCTACCATCGCTTGAACCCATGGTGAAAGCTTCCTCGCGGTCATTGTGAGAGAATCTGAGTTTCCCTCCTTTGAACTGTGATGGCAGTTGCAATGAACAAACTGCAAAAACGTCTTCACTAGTTTTCGGGCCGGCCTCTAGCTTGAATTGACCACCAGGCCTGTGCAGCAGCAATGTACTGAGGTCGAACTGTACATCCTTCCGAAGCACTCCGAGATCGTTGCATATCTGATCAAAAAACCCTTTCAACTCGACAATCCATTCTGGGTTTTCAAAGGTAAGCTTTTCCGGCTCCAGTTGAAAAGAATCCGCTGCCTGGGAACTGTTTGCCGACTTCGCCCCAATATTTTGGGAGCAAGGTATCGCCAAACCTGAGATCTCCTCCGCTTGTGATGGTGTAAGGGGAAAGGAAATTGGAGCGGACATCCCTTGTATGCGTAATCCTGGGGCCGGAAGTTGACATTCGTTGACGGAATACGGCGAGCCTGAATATCTCGAAGACGACAACGCAAGGGAGAGACGAGCTGGGAGACCAAGATTTTTGGACATGGAAACATGATTGTCATGGTCGGCTCGTTTTGGTGAGAGATTCTCTTGGGATGATTTGTCGGCGGAAGCACTGTCCAGCTTTGGCATGGAGCATGATGCTGTGTCAACTGTTGCGCCCTCGACATCTCTGTGATTCGCATCGCTTGCAGCAGCTCCAGATCCCTGAAATGCTACTCCTGGGCTTTCTTCGATGGTATCCTCCGGAGAGACCTCGGCAGTAGTGCCGCCAGAATGAACGTCCTCGCCTCGCACTTCATCTTCAGATGTCAAAGCCGGAATATCATTGTTGGTCTGCGTCTCGAGGTCATTTGTAGATTGCAGCGCAGTGGATACTGAAGCGATGTGACTATCGCACTGCAGATGTTCCGATGCGCCTGGCTGGCCGTTTGCTTCGGCTGGGGATGGCATACAGGGTTTGCGTTTGAAGCAAGAAGTTGTCAATTCATGCGGGACAATGGGGGAGGATGCGAAGCAGTACAGTACTTTTGCCGGCAGCGGCTCTATGAAGGCAACAACGCTTGGTTTGTGAAAGTCGGTGAGGTAAAGAGTGCTCGTTGTTGAAGACCCGGAAACCGAGTGAAAGGGACTGCACTGGCCAGCTGTCGAAAGATACCGGATGTGGGTGTCTTGGAAGCTCAAACACCAAAAGCTTTTTTCTGCTTAGCAGTGGCCCCCATACTTTCCCGATTTGGCCATATTCTCAGTATGAGGCATCGTTTATCCAATCATGGGGTTCATTATTTTTTGGAAATGTTTTGGTGGAGCCATTTAAGGATGCAAAGATTGTGACCTCAAAAATCATGCAAAGCACAGTACTGTAGCTTTGTCTTTTAGTACTGTACCCAAGGGTACTGTACAGCATACACACATTGCTTAAACGTATCGGCTCAGAAAACAAACACGGTGGGTCATCTGCTCGTGGAATACTGTTTCCCTCATGCCTGTGAATTGAATTCCATGATTAGTCTTCTGAAAAAATCTGCGAATGACAGTACCAAGAGCCGGGCACTCCCTACGGAACACAGAACTCATAACTCTGCCATGTACAGTGCGCGAAACTGCAATGAATACACCCATCGAGGCACGCATAAACAACACTTCCCAACCCCCGTTTAAAGAATTGTGTGTTGTGCAGTACTGTACCACGGCAAAGCGGTAGAAACGAATGTGAAGACCAAATGGCTTCCAAGAATACCGTTCTCAAAGTACAGTGCAATCGCGATAATTGGGACTGTACGGTGGACTGATTTCTGTCCCAATTATCACGACGTCCCAATTTTCGAGAGCTCGCCTGAACACGTGTAACGACACGTGTGCCCCTCGCAGGTTCATTTATTGATCCACGCATCCAACGTTGACTGTTTCGCAGCACATTGTCTTTGGCGTCTCACCTCCCCTTGTAGAGCGGAGACAGAGCTTCGAATCGCGTCACTGACGTTATACACGTCGCATAAACGCTTGCAAATGGCGACGGCCTGTATTTGCTCCTTGATTGATGGAAGAGGCGTCACTTCACCAACATCAATCTCGATGTCCTCTGAATCTTCTACAATTGACTGGTTTATAATCTGGTCGACAAGTTGCTCGTCATACAATCCCGCAATGCAGTCATCCTCACAGATAGGGTTGAGCAGATCTTTAATGTCCATTCGAACAGAAGGTGGAACCAGCTGCGCAACAGCGTTCTGAACCCCCGTTACCTCATCCTGTAAGTCGCTTTCGTTGATTTCCGCAATTGGGCCGATAAGCCCAGTGTGTCGCCAGCAATTGGCGATAATGCCCGCATCCATTGCTCTCCAAATTCGCTTGAATGAGAGCATGGCACTTAGGATATCAACTTTGTAAATGTCGGATACGGTTTCTGCTTCCGCTAAATTCAACGCCCGATCCATCTAATACTTCCTATACTGTACTTTCATCGACGCTATAATTCAGGCGTCACATGGTTGTAATTTAGTTGTATTAGAGGGACGGAAGTGTGGGATAAAACCTCTCCGCCCTGGGTTGGGTGAGAGGCGGAGGCTTGAGCGAGGGAGCACGCAGCGTGGACGCGACGCGCTAATAGAACCGAGCGGACGAGCTCGCGAAAAGGGAGTGGCTCACTGGCCGGTTACGCGCAGTCGCCCCGTGGTGCGTGAACGGGAGCGACCGGTAACGGGTTAGAAGCCAGCGCGCGCGATAGACAACCGAAACGGACGTATATAGGCGCGAAAGGGACGGGGGCGAGCTTGCCCCCGTTTACTGGTGGGGACGGGTGCCAGGTCTTAACCCCGCAGGGGGACGCCTCGGACACCTGTCCCAGTACAGTAGTACAGTACCTGCCGCCTAGTGCGTGCCGGGTACTGTACACAATTAAAAAACTAGCGCCATAATTGCTACTACCGCACGGCCGCTGCTACTACACGTGTGCACCACTGTACACGCGTGTTGCTTACAGACTACCGCACGGACGACACGTGTGCTAACGTACACGTACGCCAGATTACGACCGCTCGGCATGCGCGCGCGCTCGCTACACGTGGGCACAGCCGCCCACGTGTATACCGTATACGGCCGTCCGATGACCTCCGCGCGCTCGCGCCGGTCATTATACTACAGACCTCCCCCCTTAGCTTTCGCTACGTCCCCGTAGCGACCCTCTACTCGAGCGCGCGGGTCCGTTCCGGACGTTTCCTTCTATCGCGCACGATGCGGGAACAGAAGCCCCTCCGCGTGGACGATCATGCCCCCTGGCTCGTCAGCGAGCTGGCGGTATATAACGCCGCGAGTTCGACCGATTCGGAGAGCGCGTCTTCCGATTCTCCCCACGCGATCCACACTGACCCCCCAACTCTTCCCCAGCACTCCCCTGCGAACTCCGAAACCTCCTCCGACAGCGACGACTACATTCCCCTACAGCAGCTCTTCAACCAAGCGAAGGACGGGCATCGCGACACGCCGGCTGTGCGCGCGTACAGGC